CACACACTTGGTGTGGTCAGAGAATTTTGCTGAGGGTCTGTACCTGGGATTGCCCTGGCCCAGATGTTTGAGCAGTGATCCTGTGTTGACCTGCAGAAGGTTTGCTGTGCCTGTGGGACACGAGCTGAGGGTCCTGACTGCCTTGTCTCCTCCACAGATGTCTCTCCCGTGGTCGCAGGTCTCATCGGTGCTACCGTCCTGGTGGTGTCCGTCTCAGTCACGGTCTTTGTGTGGACATGCTGTCACCAGCAGGCAGAGAAGAAGCACAAAACTCCACCTTACAAATTCATTCACATGCTGAAAGGAATCAGTATCTACCCCGAGACCTTGAGCAACAAGAAGAAAATCAACCGGATCCGGAGGGACAAGAATGGCTCTCCCAAGGAGGCTACCAGGGGAAACCTCCTGGTGGATGCTGCTGAGTCAGGTTTAATGAGCTCTGATAAGGCTCCAGATGGGCTGACCACAGTTCCCCACGTTGACCAGCTCCCCATAAAAGTCGATTATGGAGATGAACTAAGCCCAGATCAAAGCCTGACTCCAGGGGGAAGTAAAACCTCCTCTCCATCCTCTCCGGGCGACGACGTCATGTTAGGTGAACTGACTTTCTCAGTGGACTACAACTTCCCCAAAAAAGCTTTGGTGGTCACCATCCAGGAGGCTCATGGGCTGCCAGTGATGGATGAGCACACGCAGAGCTCTGACCCTTACATCAAGATGACCATTCTCCCCGACAAGAGGCACCGCGTGAAGACTCGTGTCCTTCGCAAGACGCTGGAGCCTGTGTTCGACGAGACCTTCACCTTCTATGGCATCCCCTACAGCCAACTGCAGGACCTGGTGCTCCACTTCCTCGTGCTCAGCTTCGACCGCTTCTCCAGGGATGATGTCATTGGGGAGGTCATGGTGCCCCTTGCTGGGGTGGATCCGAGCACTGGGAAGGTGCAGCTCACCAGGGAGATCCTCAAAAGGAACATCCAAGTAAGTGGCTTCGTGTAGAGTGGCACAAGACTCCTTGGGTTGTGTTTGTTCCCAGTTGTTTTGATCTGGGAGCCTCTGTGGTCTAATAGACAGGAATATTGCAAATCCTTAGCCATGGAGGCTCTTTCTTTTCCCCCACATATATGTTTTTGGTGGGATGTGGCTGTGGGTTTGGTTGGGAAGTTCTCTGGGTGTAGTTGAGGAGTTTTCTGGGTTTGGTTAGTTGGAGAGTTCTTTGGGTTTGGTTAGAGACTGGGTTTGGGGGTTTGGTTGGGAAGTTCTCTGGGTGTAGTTGAGGAGTTTTCTGGGTTTGGTTAGTTGGAGAGTTCTTTGGGTTTGGTTAGAGAGTTCTCTGGGTTTGGTTGGGGAGTTCTCTGGGTTTGGTTAGGTTTGGTTAAGGAGTTCTCTGGGTGTAGCTGGAGAATTCTCTGGGTGTAGTTGAGGAATTCTCTGGGTTTGGTCGAGGAGTTCTCTGGGTATATTTGGGGAGTTTTCTGGGTTTGGTTGGAAAATTCTCTGGGTTTGGTTGGGTTTGGTCGGAGAATTCTCTGAGTTTGGTTGAGGAGTTCTCTGGGTGTAGTTGGAGAATTCTCTGGGTGTAGCTGAGGAGTTCTCTGGGTTTGGTTGGAGAGTTCTCTGGGTTTGGTTGGGGAGTTCTCTGGGTGTAATTGAGGAGTTCTCTGGGTTTGGTTGGAGAGTTCTCTGGGTTTGGTTGGGGAGTTCTCTGGGTGTAATTGAGGAGTTCTCTGGGTTTGGTTGGAGAATTTTCTGGGTGTACTTGGGGAGTGCTCTGGGTGGAGCTGAACTCTCTGCTGCGTGATCATGGTGAGTTGATGACCTTTGGTCACTCCTGAGGCAATAGAAACGATGATGATTAGAACAGATGTACCAAGAAAACAAGAAAAAAAGGCAAATTCCCATCTCCAAGAGCTGATGTGCTAAGAGCACATTCCTCTGCAAGGTCAGACCTCACTCGGATCAAACTCTGGAGTGACCACGTTGGAGCTGGAGTTAGTTACACCTGGATCACTGTACAGCGTGTCAGTGGAGCCTGATGGGATTCCCTTGGCCTGGAGCAGAGGTGGAAATCAGCCCCAGGAATCCCATACTGGGTTTCCTCAGTCAGGAACAAAAAAATGTGTCTGAGATGGTTTGTCAAATGGAGCCATCTCAGATGAATCCCACGGGAGTGAATCCCACTGGAGTGAATCCCACTGGAGTGAATCCCACTCAGTGCCTGGTGCTCCAAACAGAGGGATGAGCACTCCAGGGTGCAGTTGGGAGGATGTTTTTGTCCTCAGCAACACACTGAGCTCAGGCAGGAGGAGGAGGAGGAGGTACTGAAGATTGATTTGGTTCATGTAGTTTCATTTTTCCTCCTCATTTTTCCACTAGGGAAAAAAAGTGAATCCCACTGGAGTGAATCCCACTCAGTGCCTGGTGCTCCAAACAGAGGGATGAGCACTCCAGGGTGCAGTTGGGAGGATGTTTTTGTCCTCAGCAACACACTGAGCTCAGGCAGGAGGAGGAGGAGGAGGTACTGAAGATTGATTTGGTTCATGTAGTTTCATTTTTCCTCCTCATTTTTCCACTAGGGAAAAAAAAAAGCTTTTGGGCTCCTTCAGTTCCATTCCGTCTTGGAGATTGTTGCTGGGCTCTGTAAAACTCTTCCTCCCATCCCAGAGTGGCACTGTTTGATCTGGAAAGTTTTTGCTGCTTTACAAGATGGTGAAGTTCTTTTTTTTCCTAACATTATTTAAAGGAGATTCTCTGGTCAATGACCCAAGAGAATCCAAACCAAACCAAAGTTCTGGGAATTCCTTTGCTTTTCCTCAGTTCTTGGGAGTATTTGTGGCTGGTTCAGTGTCTTTTGGTGGTTTCCCTTCAGTGCATTGACAAGGTCTCGTGGAAGTCATTAGAGAGACTTTCTTCCAGCTGTGTTTTCACCTTGTTTCCAGCTGTGCTTTTCTCTGGTCAATGACCCAAGAGAATCCAAACCAAACCAAAGTTCTGGGAATTCCTTTGCTTTTCCTCAGTTCTTGGGAGTATTTGTGGCTGGTTCAGTGTCTTTTGGTGGTTTCCCTTCAGTGCATTGACAAGGTCTCGTGGAAGTCATTAGAGAGACTTTCTTCCAGCTGTGTTTTCACCTTGTTTCCAGCTGTGCTTTTATTTCCAGCTGTCTCTGGTCAATGACCCAAGAGAATCCAAACCAAACCAAAGTTCTGGGAATTCCTTTGCTTTTCCTCAGTTCTTGGGAGTATTTGTGGCTGGTTCAGTGTCTTTTGGTGGTTTCCCTTCAGTGCATTGACAAGGTCTCGTGGAAGTCATTAGAGAGACTTTCTTCCAGCTGTGTTTTCACCTTGTTTCCAGCTGTGCTTTTACCTTGTTTCCAGCTGTGCTTTCAGCTTTTTTCCAGCTGTGCATTCAAAAGAACCCCAAAAGTCTGTCAGCCCCCCACTAAGGAACCTGAAGAGCTCAACCATTGAAGCTCCACCAAAACTCAACACAACTTGAGCTCCTAAACCCCCGAGAAGCAGCAGATCCCCAAAGGCAGCAGCAGCAGCAGCCACTCTTCTCTCACCAGGTTCCCTCAGATTTGGGCTCATGGAAACACGAAATTCCAGGGGAGAACCTGTAGGAATCTCATGGGTGTGGTGTGAGCAGCATGGGATGTTTTCCCTGCTCTCTGTGTCTCATCTACAACTCTTTAGGCACTGAGCTCAGGGAAAGGGAATTCTAGTGACCTCTTTGTGCTCCCACCTTGTCCTAACGAGTTCTTTCTGCTTTGTTCTCCCAGAAATGCATCAGCAGAGGAGAGCTGCAGGTCTCCCTGTCCTACCAGCCCGTGGCGCAGAGGATGACGGTGGTGGTGCTGAAGGCCAGGCACCTGCCAAAGATGGACATCACTGGCCTCTCAGGTAGAAGCTATTTTCTCCACCTCTAAATGTGCAGAGAAATAAGCTCCAGCTTCACTTGCAGGTGTTATCACCTCTGTCTGAGGGGGATGGATCCATCACTCGTCAACTGATGGTTGTGCAAATCAACCCAAACCTTCCAAGCCACAGCACGAGTCGCAGCCACTGGTTTGGGTCAAGGCTCTGCAGAGGGATCAGGACAGGCTGATCCATG